ATGGCTCAGTGGAATAAGCGCTTCCCTGGCAAGTGCAAGGGGCCTGAGTTCAATCCCTGGTTCTAAAAAAAAAAAAAAAAAAAAAACCTATAATGATTGTGTGGCCACAGCCATTCAATGGGAAGGGGACTCCAACATATCACCGTGCGTCCCCACCCCCCTTTTTCCTGGTCCTGGCACTCATTGTGCCACGTCTGCCTCTTCCCCAAAGCCAAAATGACTGCAAAAGGTAAAGATATTGAATGAACTCAGGACATCAAGGCAGCCTCATGGTGGAACAAAAGGACAGTCCTAACGGAGGACACCAGGACTGCTTCAGAAAGTGGCAAGGATGGCGTATGCCTGAGCTGAGCTGAGCGCACGTACTGGAGGGAGGTTAATGGTAATGTGCCTTTTACTGTAATCAATTGTTTAAAATGTCTTTTAACATCACAGTATTCTATGACCACACCTTATATATATCCCCAGCCCTTTTCATTTTTTCTTTTTCTTTTTTCCCCAGTAGCAGGAATCAAACTTAGAACTTTGTGCAAAAAAAAGAACCTTGCACTTGCCAAGCAGGCGCTTAAGCTGCTGAGCTATCTCCCCAGCCCTCATTTTTTGTTTTGAAATAGGCTCTTGCTAAATTGAGCAGGCTCACCCCCAGGAGGCTCCTGCTTCCTGAGCCTGGGTGACGAGAGAGTGAGCGCAGAACCCTGCTCCCCTAAGACATCCCTGGGCACGAGCAGCACCCCCCCTCCAGTAAGAAGGCCACACACAGGTCAGTTGGTCAGCAGTGGTTATTGTGCCATTGGCAAACAATGAAACGTGTACATTGGCAACAACAGCAGGACCCACAACGACCCTCCAAGTACCTGCACTAAATCTGTCACATTCTTCACAGGAGGGGAATACACAACAGGACACACACTCCCTCACGCACGCACACACACCACAGAATGAAAAGCAATAAATTATTGGTCTGGTTTCTGCCCCAAGTCCTAAGAAAAGATACAGTTAAGAGTACAGACTGCCTGAGCCACTTCTGGGGCCTTCTCCAGGTCCTCAGGCTGGAAATGACCAGCCAAGGCCAGAGGCCTGAGCGATGCTTTCTCTCCCTGGGCAGAGGGGAGCTTAAATATGTGGCTTCTCTCCAGGGGAGGACTATTTACAAGGGAGGTGGCCACACAAGCCTCAGAGGGGAAGAACAGCTCATCTGGGAGAGCCAGATCAAAGTTATCACAAGCCCCAGGGCCACCAGCCCCACCTCACACCAGAGCCTTCTTCCATGGCAAGGGCCAGGCTTCATGGACACGCAGGTTCTTCTCCATCCCAACATGGCTCCTCCCTCCCACAGGACTCAGTCAACCCACAGAGTTCAAAGCCTGGAATTTTTCTCTCAGGTTTTTCACTCGGCCCTGCTTGTTTGGGTCCGCTGGGTCCCTGGGTCCTCTTTCCTTCAGCCAATGTGCTGATGAGTCTGGGCCCCGTCCCTCCTCAGCCTCTGGGGAAGCTGGTCCCTGCACACCACCCTCCTCCTCGGGCCCCACAGTGGGGCTGGGAAGGGGCCGCTTCTCCAGGACAATCACCCGCTGCTGGTTGTCCAGGGTGAGGTCTGCAGTGACACACAGGGTCTCGTCTCCGTTCAGCCCAGGAGGCAGAAGCTGGGCATCCTCCCCTCCTCCTGCACCCCTCCTGGTGCGCAGGCTGCTGCAGCGGCCCACCCTGCCCACCACCGGAGGCTCCACCATGCTCTCGGGCACTGAGCGGCTCCGGCTGACCGGCGGGGCCCTGGGCCGGCTGCCCTCTGTCTGGACAGCCCCTTCATGGGCATACTTGGAGCACAGCTCTCGGACGTCGGGCCAGTGGAAGGTCTCGGTGTCAAAGGGGCTCAGGGGGCTCCGTGTGGAAAGCCGGGCCCCTGGTGAGAGGGTCCTCGCACTGGCCGCAGAGGTGCTGACGGAGAAGCGCCGTGGCGACGTCTCCCCAGCAGAGGAGGGCTTGGGAGGGCTGGGGTCCTGGGCTGCCAGCTGCTCACAGCTGAAAAGGGACAGCACGGGCTTCCTCTGGCCTGTGAGGAGAGAGGAGGCCGCTGAGTCACTGGGCCAAGGAAAGAAACTTTCGTCTGATTCCTTAGGCTCACACTGCAGGCAAGGCTGGTTACTGGGGTTTTGTGCATGATGGAAGAATAGTCCAGTTTACCACCTACTGCCCCTTGGTCAGAGAGGGATGGGAAGAATGGGAGAAAGGCGCCAGGGATCAAAGGGAAAGACAAGAGGCTGTGCTTTTGTGCCTCTAAGATTCTGTTGCTGGAGCAGAGGGCTTGGGGGAGAGTACTCAAAGGGCTCCATGGAGTACGGGGCTGGCCTCAGGGTGTACATGGCCGCCAGGGTGCACCCCTCTCTTTGGTATGACCTTGCCCTTCCCCCCCACACACACACCAGTTCTATCTGTGGCAGGGCCTCTGGAAGTCACATCCCCAGGGGCACTGGCTACTATCCAGCCCGAGACCTGCCGTTCTGCCTACCTTTGCCACCACACAGCTCTGGAGCCTCCAGCTGCAGGCAGGGGACAGGGGAGCTCTTCCTGTCCAGGTCTGGAGCCACGTTCTCCCACTGCGGCGATGGTCTGGCCGCCACTGACTTGATGCTCTTGATCCGGAGGCTGTACTGGCGGGCCAGCTGGTAGACCTTGTTTTTGACACGCTCGCTCATGTGGCCATCCATCATGTGGGACAGCTGCACAATGCGTGGGTGCAGCGGGGTAACCAGCTCCCCCGGAACCCCACTGCTCAGCTCCTTCACCAGCTCCTTCAGCTCCCGGGCCAGGTGGGCTTGGCTGGGCTGCTCGGTGGGCGAGACACTTTCTGGCGAGGCAGTGGCTGACTCCTCCGTGATGGCCCCCAGCTCATGTTCCTCCAGGATGAAGAGCGGCTCCTGGAGGTCAAAGCCATTGGCCTGAGCCTGGCCTGGCCCTGGCCGGGGGCTTCGCTCAGCAGACTCCATTGTCTCCCATATCTTCACAACTTCTGACAACGGGCGGAACTCAGTGTCTGTGACAGGAGCTGGGTCTTCTGTGCCCACCTGTTTGAGCCCTGGGAGGTCAAACAAGGCCCATGATGCCACTCGGGAGCCTCTCTGTCTCTTGGACCCTGCTGGAGCTGCTGGCTTCAGGTCTGGCCCCGGAAGGCTATTGATCCTGGAGACGGAGTTCCGCACCAGTCCTTTGGGGATATAGGAGAGACTCTCCCGGCGCCGGACACTGAAGCCCGCGTCGTGATGCTCTGCGTTCTCATAGTAGCTCTTAATTTTATCCAGCAAAAGCCGATCTCGGGTGGAGAGTGCCGACTCCTTCTTGCAGGAAGATCTGTCAGGCTCCACTGGGCAGCCTGCCTTTGGGGACTCTGTCTCGGTGACAGAAAGGCCACTCTGTGTGGCAACCCCCATGCTATTGCCCACTTCTGGGGGAGACTGGGAGCCCAGGGAGTCTGTTGCACTGCCCCACCGGGCCAGGCCCTTCTCATTGCCCTCCAGGCTGAGCACGCTGCTGCTCCGGCTGACCAGCCGTGGTGTCCCAAAGCCACCGGACTTGCCATTGCCATCCTCCGGGGTTACGCTGCTGCGCCGAGAGAAGCTGCTGACGAACCGATCAGCAATGACACTGGCCTGGTCTAGCACAGAGGGTGGTAAGAGGCTCTCGGGCTCCTGGGCTGCCCCCACCTCCTCCTCCTCCTCCTCCTCACTGCTCAGGGCCTTAAGGTCCTCAGTGCTCTCGGCCACCACAAAGTCCACCATGTCCACCAGTTGGTCCATCCCCAGCAGCTCCTGGTGAGTCTCAAGTTCTATTTCCGGGACTTCAGGTGGCTCTGTGTCTGAAGGCATCTCCTCGGAACCAGGACCTTCCATGACAGCAAAGACATCCTGATCGGCCCCAGGACCAGGACCTGCTTCAACCTGGGATAACAGAGAGTTCACATGAGTGAAAAAAAAAAAAAAAAGCCTCCTTCACAAGACCTAGGGGTAAAGGTACAGCCAGCTCACAGCGCAGTGAAGAACCCTGCAGGTTAGGGCCAAGGGTGTGCAAGATGAGGGATTCAAATTTGAGTAAGAAGAAAATGCTCGGGGCTGGGGAGATGGCTCAGCAGAATAAGCGCTTCCCTGGCAAGCGCAAGGGCCTGAGTTCAATCCCCGGTTCCGCAAAAAAAAAAAAAAAAATGCTCATGGCCTTTAATTACCCCACAGCTGAGGTGCTGAGTCCACTAGGAACCTGTCAGGCAGCCTGCCTGGGAGCTCCTGGCACATGAGGGCAGCATATGACACCAGGCTAGGTGTGACCCTGGTCCCTGGGGAATGGCTCTCACAGGCACCTCCAGAGTCACAGCACTGGGATGTCCCTGCCTGATGGCAAGGCATCTCCTGAAAGCCCCAGAGGCGCAAATCCAGGCCTGAGCCTCATGAGAAGGTTCTCAACCTCCCCAAGGCACTCGGGTCCTTGGTGGAGCAGGGCCCTAGGGCAACAAGTATGTACTGTCACCTTGAGAAATCAGGTCAGGAAAACCAGCTCCAACCAGCCAGGATGGCCAACTGTGTGCCCCACAGATGCCTATGAAGAAAGCATGTCTGACAATTCCCTCCTCACCACCTCAGAGGTAATCTGAGCCATTAACTGGCTGGCACAGCTTTCCAGAGAGGTGTTTAGGGGAAAGAGAGAACACTCTAAATTCTAAGGAACCAGAATTCCTGATTCCATTAGTTCTAATACACAAGCTGCAACGCAGACCCAAGAGCTAGGCCTCCACCGTCCCACACAGTAGCTAAAAGCGCATCTGGCATTCTAGGCAGCTCAAACACAGCCAGTTCAAATCAAGACCTGCTAGAAGAGCAGAATACACATCAGATCTCAAAGACTCTGCATAAAAGATAAGATATGGCCAGGCTTGGTGGTGCATGCCTGTAATCCCAGCACTCTGGGAAGATAAAGGAGGATTGCTGAGTTTGACGCCAGCCTGGGCTATGAAGTGAGCTCAAGGCCAGCCTGAACAGCATAATGAGACCTCGTCTCAAAAAAACAAAAAAAGGGGGGTTGGGTGGGGATTAAAATGTCAGTAAGTTTTATAAGGATTACATGCTAAAATAATATTTTGGGGGCTGGGGAGATGGCTCAGTAGAATAAGTGCTTGCCTAGCAAGGGCAAGGGCCTGAGTTCAATCCCCAGTTCCGCAAAAAATAAAATAAAATAAAATAAAATAAAATAAAATAAAATAAAATAAAAATAATAGTATTTTGGACCTACAGGATTAAATAAAACATATCACTAGAATTAATGTCACTTGTTTCTTTTATTTTTTGCTTGCTTGTTTTTTTGAAACAGGGTTTCACTGTGTAGCCCAAGCTGACCTCAAACTCCCAGCAATTCTCCTGCCTCAGCCTCCCAAGTGCTGGGATTATAGGCATGCACCACTATGCCCAGCTCTTTAATTTTCGTTCTTTTTTTTTTCACATGGCTGTAAGAAAATTTGAATTACACTTCAAGTTTGTCTTCTAGTATTATAGGACAGCCCCATTTGCTATGCTTTGAATGGTGTGTCCCCTTGTCCCCATTCATGTTAGAACCTAATAGCCAGCATGATAGGATTCAGCAACAGGACCCTTAGAGTCGAGATTAAGTCATGAAGGCTTTCACCTTCACAAATGGGATTAGTGCCTTATCAAACAGCATGGAGGGCATCCTAATTCTGGAATTATCAGCCTGCAGGACTACAAACAATACATTTCTGTGGTTCATAAACATCCAGTCTAAGATGTTACCACCCCAACAGTCTACATCAAGCAAGCTTTTTTTCTACCCAGTGTCATCTAGATTCTCAGACTTGTCCTGCCTGTGACATGTACCCTGGGGTCTGGCCTTAGGTCACGACCTTCTCCTTGTAATGTGGGAAAATCAAAGGACTCAAGTGTCCACATCCCACAGATTGCGGTGGCCTCTCTGATCAGAGACCCAGTCTGATTACAGCTCTGCCGCTGGTGCCAGGGCTACTACTCAACCTCTGAGCCTTTTTTTCCTTCTACAGATGTTGCAGGGAACCAGAGAAAGAGATAAAACATCAGACATGCAGGAGATGTCCAACTGATAATAACACCCTTCTTCGACAAGGGGCTGCAGGCATGATTTAAAAGCCTGGCTGGTTGGCAGAGGTGAGGCATTGTACCCTGTCCAAGGCAGTCTGACTGAGGGGCATAAACCCGGTGCACCTCCACTAGCAGTGGCCCTGCGCATGGGTTGCATCTGGCCCAAGGAAGGAAGACCCTTTGCTAATTCATGGGGAGTAGGTGTCTACCCACTAAACCAGGGGCTGGGGATTTGGCTCAGCAGTAGAATGCTTGCCTAGCAAGCTGGAAGCCCTGGGTTTGGTCTTCGGCACCAAAACCAAAAAATAAACCTCCCCCTAAAAAACAGTTCAACCAAAAAAATACAGTAAAATCAAAAAAGACCAAATCCAAACAAGGCAACTCCACTAAACCACACACCCCAGGCTGCAAAGGCTTCCTAAAGGAGCAAGAGTCCTGGTGGTTCAGAATCCTTGTTCCCGGTGGGACCCCCAGGCCTGTAAGACCTGCCTACAGGCCTGGATGCTGCACTGCAGCCACCTTTGCCCTAACTCCCTCCCACCAGCCAGCCCCTCACCTCTGGGAGGGAGGAGACGGACTCAAAGCTCACGCGTTTTCCAGCACTGGTTGGAGACCGTCGGTCACTGGTCCTTCTGCAGTTCTTGGGGCCTTCAGACTTGCTGCGTCTCTTCCCCTGGAGCAGGCAGAGAGCAGTGTCAGCTCCAGGACAATCAAGAGCTGGTCCCTTCTACATTCCAACATGGGCAGCACTTCCCGCACCCAAGGTCTGTGCTGAGCCAGCCCTGAACCCGAGCCACTCCAGTGCAAGCTGAACAACCAGCCTCGGGCAGCAGGAATCTACACAGGTGTGAGAGACCCAGCCAGCCCTTCCTACTGAGCCACAGGGATGAGCTCTCTCCTAGCCCTGCTGTGTTGCTCCTGCCTTGCCCCCTGCCCCACCCGGACTTGCCCTGCTCAGGGTTGGTGTACTAGTTAGTGCTCAGTCCTGGGGGTGTGCATGCCAGGGGCTCACCAGGGCGTGACAGCAAGTGAGGGGTTAAGAAGTGCTGACAGGAGTGAAGGAGCAGGCAGGGTGGGGAGAGGACAGGAGGGGTCTCTTGGATGGGCAAGCACAGGCCAGGGGACATGCAAAGAGGAGGGGAGATCAAAGAGACACCTCACCATAGCACCCCGGGAGAAAAGTAAAGCGTTGGCCCGATAGTGCCAGCAGTGGAGGGCGGCCAGCAGGGAGCTGGCAAAGTCAGCTACCTGCTCTGCCACGGCCAGACTCTCCTCCACCACCTCCTCCTCCTCCTCCTCCTCCGAGCCTGGGGGCTCTGTCCTGGCCCCCTTTTTGCTGCCTCCATTCCCAGCCAGGTCCTCCAAAGAGACCGGAAAGGCCTGCTCCTCCTCCTCCTCCTCCTCCTCTTCCTCCTCTTCCTCTACCACCTCCTCCTCTTCTTCCTCTTCTTCCTCCTCCTCTCCAGCAGCTCCCTCGGCCTCGGGCTGCAGGCCCCGGCTCTGGGGTGGCCGCTCGAAGTCCAGGAGGGCGCCAGCACTGCCCGCATGCTGTTCAGAGCACAAGATGCCCTCGTGACCCACCTGGTGGGCAGCCTCCCCCTTCCTGGGGGAAGCTGGGGGGTGGGCGGGGAAGGCTGTGCAGAGGCCATGCCTAGGTAGCCAGTCACAGTCTCCCCGGGGATCTGGTGAGGAGCAGGGCATTTCAGGGTGGGAAGGCTGGTCCTGGTCAGGAGCCCAGGCCCAGGAGAGGGACATGAGAGATCAGTGCTGGGCGGGCTCCCACAGGAAGAGGGCAGTGGGTAGAGGAGGGTTCCCGTCACGAGGGCCATCGCTCGTCTCTGCAACAGTGTGCACATGGGTGGTGTGCACAGGCCTGTGCTGAGTGAGGAGCAAGAGGGCAGCGGGCGGGGCCCAGACGCGGCGGCCCACCCACCCCTGCGCCACGGCTCCACGGCCCCTCAGCCTCCGTCACCCCCTTACCTTCATTCCTGCTATTCTGGCTGCTGACACCACCACTGGGCACCCAGTGCAGGGACGAGGGGCAGGAGGGAAAGCGGCCAGTAAGCTGGAGGAGCCTCTCTAGAGGGGCCCAGGGCCTCCCTAGGGCTCCTCCTCCCATCAGGCACCCACGGCCCACCAGAGCTCCTGGGTAAGAGCCATCCAGCCCCGCCCACAATCACCTTTGTCGCTGAGTTGCCTGAGCAGGTGTCTGGTCGGCTCTGAGGAAAAACAAACAAAGGCAGGTAAGCACAGGCCATGAACAGCTACACCTGGTCCAAGTGCCGGGCTCACAGCGGCACCAGGACACCATCAGTTCAAGGTCCACTCCAGCCTGCCCTCAGCAAGCCGAGCAAGGGACTGGGAGATGCTCCTGGCAGTGTCATGGGCTACCTGAGCTTCATGGCAGGAGGCATGGCCTAGGTCACTCCATCCCATGCGGAGTTCAAGCACACAGCATGCTGCCTTGGTCCCTCCATTAGCACATCTGTTACAGGGTCCCCATTCCAGAGCTGCCCTGCTCCACCCCCACAGCAGCCAGCTGTGTCTCCACCTCAAGCCCCTCTGCCTCCCCAGCAAGGAGCACATCTGCACACTGCTACACCCTCCTCCCACCCCTCACAGCACCCCAGCTGGAGAGCAGGGTACACCCAACTTCCTGCAACCCTTAAGGCCTGCTATATTGGGGCCTCACTGCCTGCTGGGGAGTGTGGCCCAGCTGGACAGGTGGTAACCCAGCTCTGGGAACAGGACACAAAACATCCATAGGCTGTAGCCAGCCTTTCCGGGGACAGACCTGAGACAAAAGGACACAGAGAAGAGGACCTGCATCAAGGATCCTCTCTGTAGAGCCCTTAGCCTCTTCCTACTGCAATCCAGCTGGCCTTGAATGCCAGGCTCAGAGATGGTCTCTGTTGTCTGTGAACATGGAGGTAGAAGGCCTACCTGTGTGTCTGAGCTGATCCTTGGCAGAGGAGCAGACTGAAGAGCTCTTTTTCCTAAGATTCTCTCTCTCTCTCTCTCTCTCTCTCTCTCTCTCTCTCTCTCTCTCTCTCTCTCACACACACACACACACACACACACACCCGTACAGACGTTCTCTCTACATCAATATAAGCAAACAGCTAATTGTTTCTAAAGTGGAAAACAAGATGTTCTATTCTTTCATTCTAAAACATGTAATTAAGGATATTTAATAAGTCACAGCTAATTCAAGATAGAACAACAGATACTAAGCATCCCACAGCATGCTGGTCTGCCCGATGCAGTTCTCCGGAAGGAGGAAATGGAAAAAACTCTGGGCCAACAGAGGAGGCGGCAGAGCCACGCACTAAGCTCTTGGGTGTGGCCTGAGCCTCCCCGTCCTCAGCCGCCGCCCCCCCTACTTCTCCACATGCTCCCCAAGTCTCCTCAACTAACTTCTAACACGCAGGAGGAGGAAGAGGGACACCAGAGAGATGCGCACTAAACTCAGGCTGAGCATCATTTGGTACTAGAGAAGATCTGTGTGATGGGCACAGCTCAAGCGCAGGCTGTCTCCATGGCAACCCTGTCCTGGACCCCTGCAGCACCTGGCAGCTCACACATCACCAGTGAGGCTGTGACACAGGCTTCACAAACTGAAGGGCTCGACCCTGGGCAGCACTGCAGAAACAGGTCTGCTTCGCAACAGGTGAAACTAACACAACAAAAGAAGCTAACAAGGGGTCGGGGAGATAGCTCAGTAGGATAAGGGCTTGCCTGACAAGCTCAAGGGCCTGAGTTCGATCCCTGGTTCCACTGAAGGAAAAAGGAAAAAGAAAAAAAGCAGCAGCTAACAAATCTCAAAAGACAAATTCTTAGGTATTTACAGGTTCAAACCTCAGCCATGTCAAATATTTTAGCTGTTAAACAGCTCATTTCCTGAGTGCCTTGAATAGCTAAATTATTTTTAAACAACTTTATGGAGGTATAATTCTCATGCCATACATTTCACTCGTTTAAAATATACAACTCAAGTCGCTGGCTTTAAGCACGTGCAGTTATAGACCAGCACTAAAGCACTGGTGCAGATGTTGTGCCGGTTGCCACGGTCACCACCATCACTTGGACCCACCCTCCCATGTGCCAGAGCTTCCAACGCTAGGCAACAGCAAGTTAAGGGTGAATGGTAGAGAAAAAGGGGAGAGAAATAAAAGTGAGCCACAGGTCGATTCTGAGTCTTTGATATTTGAGACAGGGTCTCACTATGCAGTTCAGGCTAGCCTTGAACTCACAGAAATCTTCCTGCCTCAGCCTCCCAGTGCTGGCATGAAAGGCTTATGCCACCACACACACCCAGCTTCACTCTGGGGCTTCTAACCATAAAACCTTTGTAGCCAAGTTTGAACCAGGGTTCAAAAAAAATCTATCTTTTTTTTTTAAATTTATTTATTGTGTGTGTGTGTGTGTGTGTGTGTGCGTGTGTGTGTGGCCAGCTCAGCCCACCAGGGGGCGGGGCTGGCTGGCATGTGGTGCTGGGGGATTGAACCGCGGTCCCTGTGCTTTGCCAAGCTTGTTCTAAGTAGGTGCTTTAGACCACTGAGCCATCTCACCAGCCCAAAAAAATCTCTCTTGAGGCTGGAGTTACAGCTCAGTGGCATAAGCACCTGCCTGGCAAGGTCCTGAGTTCCTGAGTTCAATCTCCAGTACAAAGAAAAAAAAAAAAAAATCTATCTAGAGTAATACCAAGGAACACAGAAACACAAAAGCTGTCTGGAGACCACCTGGTAGCATTTTTTTGAAGGCCAAAGTTCACAAATCAGCCCAAATGGGGTTCAACAGATGAAGGGACACGGCCCATCAAAACCCAACACATTTTTGGGTCCAAGCCAAGACACTGCAACCAATTCCTGCAAAATCCTTCTCTCCAGGCGACAGAAAGATGATGGTTTTCATGCCACCCAGACTGCTCCTGGCTTAACCTAGATCTGTCCATGAATGGCAAAGTGAGAACAGATAAAACACACACACTCATCACTGCAGAACTAAGAATAAAGGCAAGATTTTTTTTTCCTAAATAGACGATTCATTTCCATAAATCCAAGAACACATTAGCAAGTCCAGTAATGGAAGAAAACCCAGGAAAGGAAAATGGAACTTTTTCCCTGAGACCCAAAGTAAATATTCCCTGTCTGGATCTGGTGCCACTTGGTCTAATTCATTTTCCTCATGTCCTGTTTCTGCTGTGTGGGCCCAGAACCAGGGGACCAGGGACCCTTCTTGGTGTCCGAGTATTATTCCTGGCCAACTTGGTTTGTATTCTGAGTGCCAAAGAAAGGAGGCTCAGCTGGATGGGGGTGCCAGGCCGAGATGCCAAGGCCCAAATAAACAAGTGCTCCGAGGACCCGGAGAGGTGGGCTGCCTGCCCTGTGGACAAGACGGCCCAGAGAGCATGCACACAGAGTGGGCACTGCAGGTGTCCACTCGCCCTCCCCCACCGCCCTTCCATGGGTTTTATTGGAGGGGGAAACAGTAACCCCAGGTGATGTCCCAGAGGCCCCCCGCTGGATCCAGGGTTCTTTGCAGAGGCTGTAGCCCACATAGCCACTCTTACCAGACTGCCGGCGGCCCTGGCGCGCCTGAGTAGACACCTCATCCTGGGATGACCACGCCTTTTTCAGCCGCTCTGGGCTGCGGCGGTACCGACTGGGATCTGCGTCCACAAGAGAGCTGATCAGGCTTCTGCAGGTTCTCCACTGGCCTCAGCCTGGCCCCTGGCCATAGCCACCCACCCACCCACCGCAGCTCTAGACACCTCCAGAGCACCCACCGTTCTCCACCTTCCTCCACGTGGAGGCTCCAGGAACTGAGAAACCTGTCCCTCATGTGAGGCGACCCCCAGCCCATGATAGGAGGAGCCCACCTGTCTTTCCTGTTCCTGATAGAAAAGCCCCAGGCAAAACCTTCCCAGGACACAGCCCAACCTAGCTGTGAGCACAACTAGGGTAAAAACAGGCAGAAAGGAGCAACTTACAATAGGAGTCCATTTCCAAGATTGCTTCCTTGGCCTAGAAGGGAAGGAAGGCCCCGAGTTACCACCTTGCTGCATTCGGGGCCTCCCTCGCCCCCCAGTATACCCCCACAGTCCTCTCAGGGACATTCTCCCTGCACCATCAGCACCCGGGGCTGACCTTCTGGGGAATGGTGGCATGGTGGTTCTCCAGGATGAGCCTCTTGATGTGGTGCGTCCAGCTCCGCTTCTCCTCTGCCGTCTTGGCCTGGGAGGGCCCAGGGGAAAGGGATCTGAGTTACAATGCCAGGCCCAGCCCGGAACTACCTTCTACTAGGGGGTAGAGGTGGAATGAAGCACTGAGCTGGGCAGTAACTCCCCCACAAACCCCAGGGGAGCCTGGAATGCTCCGCGCTTTGCAAATGGAGCCACAGGGCTGTGGGCAGCCAGGGGTGCCCAGGAGCTAGGCGGGCATGCCAGGAGCTCATGCCCAGCCTAAGCCCGCTCACCTGGATGTTGTACTGCTGCTTGCTGTGCTTGTAGTGAGTGACAGTGAAGCACAGGGAGTCTCTGGTACTCTCAATCAGCATCAGGGAAGAGCACTGGGGGCAGGGGCAGAGGGCAGTCAGGCAGGCGCGAGGAGGAGTCCCAGGCCTCAGCATTCTGGCAGCAGGAGGGCACCAGAGCTCCAGAAAGCAGCCGCGAAGCAGGGGAGCCCGGGTGCCCAAGTGCCCAAGAGGGAGAAGCCTGGTTACCGGGATGTGACCCTTGTAGACAAAGTGATCTCCCCGCTTCTTGGTGATGAGCAGTGCTTTGTCGAAGAGGAAGAAAGTCCTCTCGTTGCGCACCCGGTGCACACGGAAGGTGCCCTCCAGGACAAGCTCCCCATAGATGGTTAGGTCTGGGCCCTTCCAGTTGATGAGCAGAGACTGAATCTCCTGCAGGACGAAGGCCCGGGTCCAGGGTCAGGCCTCATGGTCCTGAGGCTCCCAGCTCGGCTTGCCCAGCAGGGCGCAGTATCCCCTCCCTCCAGCCCCTGGGTCCATCCATCCCCCAGAGCACCTGGAGCCGGACGGCATGCTCGTGTCTCCTCTTCATATCATTGATGTACCAGGCCACACAGGTCATGGTGTCAATGGCCTCTTCCACTACCTCAAAGCCATCTTCTTCTTTATCAAAGTGTTTGGCAATTTCCTGCGCAGGAGACAGAGGTTTAGGCAACTCCTCCATGAGGCCTGGGCCCTCTCGCGGGCCCCAGGTCCTCCGAGGCGGCCTGGCCTACCTGAAGCAGCAGGTGGTACTTGAGGATGCGCTGGACGGGCTTCAGCAGGTAGGAGCCCAAGGGCAGCGAGTGCTGCAGCAGCTCTTGCCGCTCCCGGAAGAACTTGGCCTGCTGCTTGTCCCTCATGCATTCGGTCAGCACAGCCACCGAGCTGGAGGGGGGAGAAGGGGCGTCCCTGGTGGGGGTGGCTTGTGGAGGACCCAGGGGCTCCAGACAAGCTGAAGGGCTCGGCCTCCCTCCTCTCAAGGACTCTGGTTACTTACTTGGGGTAGTTGTTGCAATACTGGGTGTAGATGTCGAACTCTTGGCTCTAAGGAGAGACCAAAAACAGTGACCTCAAGGATTTTCTCGTGTGACCCCGAACCTGGGAGGCCCAAAGACAGGCCTCGGCCTCCCTCCCCAAAGTGTCTACTGAGCTATCTCTGCAGCCTTTGTTTAGGACAGTGGTGGGAACCCACAGCACGCATGCTGCCATGGGTTGTTTATGTCATTTAAGGCTCCAAAAGGGTCACCATCACTGGTCTAGGGCACCCCAACTACCTGGCAATCCCCAAAGCGATCCCAGGACGGCCTTCCACTTGAGGCACTGTGCCCATCCCTCCCTCCTCCCCCAGATAGGAACCCCCAGAACTTGTGTGTTCTCCTATTGGGTGTTCCTGTCCCCCTGCACTTTCAGCAAGGCAGGGCAAGAGGCAAGGACCCCAGCCTGCTCACCCTTTCCACAAAGCAGCTGGCCACAGCCACTGGGTCACTGTTGCAACTGTCCAGGTCTCTCAGCAGCTGGCTGGGTGGAGAGAGAGGCCATCAGAGGTGGCTTCTGCAGCCTCCTAACAGAGATGTGCTGCAGCCCCACATCCTCAGACCCAACCCCGCCGGCCGTGCTGTCAGGCTGGGAGCTGGGACTTCCACCCTCTGGGAGAGCCCTGCCCCAGGCAGCAGCCACAGAAAGGTTCCAGCGCAGCACAGTGACAGGAGCCAGGGAGCCCTGCATGCTCAGCAAGCAAGCGGGAAAGGAAGAGAACACTAGTACCCACCTCAGGAGGGGACAGTCCTCTGTGGGCAGGGTCAAACACATAAAAGCAGAGATTAAAGGTGGAAGAAGAGAAGGGATAAACAGAATGGCTCCAGATGAGAAGGATGAAGGAGGCAGGGAGAGGCAGGCTGAGCTCCAGCGCCCGACTGTAGATGGGGGCACTGTGGGAGGCAGCATCCCCTGCCCCCTCCGTCTGTGCACCTCTCCCACCCCACTTGTCCATCTCCCCAAGTCACACCTGCAGCTGCCCTCCCCCAGCTTCACAGGTCCCTGTATGTCTCAAGGGACCTGGAGGAAGACTCCCCTCCTGTCCTGTGGATGCAGCCCCCCCAGCCAGTGCCCCTCTGTGAGAGTCCATGGCCCCACAGCAGCAGAGAAGGACAGCCCCTCCCACCCATGCACTCCACTAATGGGTAATCACCACCAAGAGCCCCAGTTCTCTTTGGGTCAATGAGAAGGAGAAGAAATTACAAGACGGACAGATGGGGAACAAGGAGAAGGACAGAGGAAGGGCATCTGTGGGGGGGGATCTAGCAGTCCCCTGAGAGGGCACTGCCTTGGGCTGGACCCAGCAAGCACACAGCCTCAGATCATCACACACACACACACACACACACACACACACACACACACACACACGTCCTCCCGCAAGTACATCAGCCCGGGGCACACTTTCCCAGCTGGTGCCTTCTCTCCAGCATGGAGACAATTCTGCCTCTTTCAGAGACAGCCCACCCTTCCCAGAGCTCAGAGATCCTGATCAGACCCACATGTCAAAAGCCCAGAGTCCAAGGACACCCCGAGCCAGGGCCCAGGGCAGCGGGACCCCGTGAGGTCAGGCCTGTGTACTCACACACCTGTTCAGTGCATAGATGCTCTCTATGTTCCCAAAGAGTGCGCTGACCTGTTCCGCCTTCAGTAGCCCGGGTGTTTCGATGATCTTCAAGAGGTAATCCTGCGTGGACAGAGGCACTCGACACCCGGCTCGCCCAACTCCACCTTGTCCCCTTGTCCCCCTCGCTTCCCTCAGCCACATGTCAATGCTGTCCTGTGTTGTTGGGAGCAGCTAAAGCTGGAATTCAGTCGTATGTGGGAGGGCAGGACAAGGCCACACTACAGTGCCTAAAGCAGTCAAGCCCACCTCAGTCTTGACAAAAGCACCCTGCCTGGACAATTTCAGTCATTAGTTACTAGGCAACCTTGTGTCTCGTGCCACTAACCTTGCAAAGGTATAAATAAATGCCCTTCCTGTTATTGGGGTCCTTTGCCCATCAGGTAGAGGCTCTAAGGGCCAGTCAGATAGCTCAATGGATTAAAGAGCCTGCTTAGGCAGACACAGGGACTGGGTTTCAATCCCCAGCATGCCATGCTGGTCCTGCCCCCAGGGTGCAAAGAGACAGCAATTGAGACTGGGCATGGTGGCGCGCACCTGTAATCCCAGCGATTAGGAGGCTGAAAACTGGAGGATCACTATGAGTCTGATCTATGAGTGAGACGCTGTAGACCCTGCACTAAATACATTAACAAACAAACAAACAAACAAACAAACAAACAAACAAAAAGGCTCTCATCTGTCTCCTGTCTTTTCCTCATGCCTGCTGCAGTTTCTCCCTCGGTACACTGAGACCGGTGAGTCCCTATACCACATTTTAAAGCTATGTTGCAATTTCACAGGCAACACCCACTGTGCCAGGTCAGAAAGTGTACACCCCAAAATTCATGCCCACTTGGCACCTCAGCAGGCAACTGTACTTGGAAATAGGGGTGCTACAGATGTCATTAGTAAAACTTTTTGGATGATGCCATGTAATACTTAGAGTGAACCCAAAATCCAATGACTGGTGTCCATGTAAGAGGAGGACATGGAGACACAGGCAGGTAGTGGGACAAGATGAGGGTCGGAATGCTCAGAATCACCAGAATCTAGAGAAGAGGCACAGAAGGTATTCTGCCTTGGGGCTCAGGGCCATTGCTTTGACTTTGGACTCCTGCCTGACGGGAAGTTGATTTCTGTTGATGCAAGCTATGCGGCTGGTGCTCAGTTGGTGCATTTTCTACGTACCCTGAGCAGTGCAAAGCCTTACCCCAGCCACGGGAGTCGGCTGTGTCCTTGCAAGAGACCTGAAGCTCAGGAGGTTATGTGTCCACTGAGACCCACAGCCAGGAAGTGGCAGAGCAGAGACCTAGATAAGTCTGTCCAGGCTCGGTCTCCACAGAGCACCCCTGTCAGGCTGGGGTCCCTTCTGTCCCATCAACAACACTTGCCAGGCACCAGTAGGAAATGTTGCCACCCAAGCTCCCAGTGTGGCTCAGAGTGGTGGGAACACAGGAGAAGCCACAGCCTCTATGGACAGGAGCCCGTGTTCCCCTGCTGCTCCATGGGAGGCAGATGACCCAGGGAGAATGTTCTCCTGCCTTGCACTCACCTCCACGATGCTGCGAAGGTCCTGCACATACATACGCTCCGTCTCCACGATCTCCCGCACCACTCGGCCTAGATAGCTGAGCTTGTGGTTCGAGGTCCCCATCGCCCGGCCACTGAGTGGGGACACGGGTCCCTTTGCATGCAGCCAGCCACTGGAGTTATTGTTGCTATTGGGGCCATGCCCGTTCTGGGGTGCAGCCTCGGGGCCAGCAGGCTCTTCCATGGCACTTCGACTGTCATGGGAGGAGCCGGAGGAAGAGGTGGTGGATGTCAGGCTTGCTGGCCGCTCCTCGCTGCCGTTTCGATGGAGGGTGGCAGAGATGGGCATCCTGGCATCGCTGCCTGGGGAGGATACCTCGGGGAGATTCTGGAACAAAACAGATGGACAAGCGATCAACCTCTGAGCTCCCAGAGCATCGGAAAGTGGGAAGGAGATTGCCAGAGATGAGAAAGAGCAGAGCGAGAAGGTATGATAGTGGGAACAGTGATGGATGGTGCAGATGGTTGTGCGACGTGAGTGCACTTCACATTTCTGAACTGTATTCTTAAAGATGTTTCAAGGTGCTGTTGCGTATAGTGGCCCATGAATGCAATCCCAGCACTCAGGAGGCTGAGGCAGGAGGACTGTTGTAAGTTCAGGGCCAGCCTGAGCTACAAAGCAAGTCCATCTCAAAAGTTTGAAAATTTTAAGATAGTAAGTTTTAAGTTACATTTATTTTATCACAATTAGAAAAACTGAATGTGAGGAGGAGGAGGAGGAGGAAGAGAAGGAACAGGAGGAGGAGGAGGAGGAGAAGGAGGAGAAGGAGGAGGAGGATCCTTCCCTTACTCTAGAAATGCTGACAAGGATGGTCTGGGAAATTCCTTTTCCAACCCCAGCAGCCTCACCTCCATCCTTCTAGGTGGAGAAAAGGTGGCCCATCTTTAAGATGAAGATGGATACGGCCCACCCCAGGGCTGTGTCCTCAAGGACAAAGTGGCCTGATACCCATGGCCCTCTGACTGTGATGCACAGCACACAAAATTTGCCATACACTCTGAGTACTGAAAGCTTGTCCCACGTGCATGCTCAGCAGGGCCAGGACTGGGGTCACCATACAGGGGTAGACAGGTAACCTTCTCCCCAGAACTGCAGCACCTGAGGGCACTGGTGACTTCACCGTGCATCTGAAACCCTCTGCATACTGATGTGGGGAAGAGGGAGGGGACAGTGGAGAGACTGAGCCAGCGCTGCCTCACTCCTCGCGGGCCCTGGTACAGGCAGGCCTCTGACATAGCCAGGCCAGGAAATTCCCCAGCGCTGAGCCAGCGCAGAGTCTCCGTGAGCTCTCTCAGCTGGCTGGGGCAGAGCAGCCCAGAAGGCAGGAAACTGCACCCAGGTGAGGCAGGCACAACCCCAGGGCGGACTTTATCCCCACAGCAGATGGCACAGCCCACTGGGGCACCGGGGGGAAGACACAGTGGCCAGAGCATAAACAGGTCATCACCTTTGGGAAACACAGGGCCTCTGTGCCCACTGCATGAGACTGCACTATCCCACTTTCTAGAAAGCTCTTTCGAATGCTGTTTCCATGGGGGAAAAGTCCCCAGGAACTCTCTCATGTCCGCTGGTCCAGCCCAGGACTGAAGCCCCCACCCGAGGCCAGAGCTACCAGAGGACCTAAAGCTCCACTCAGGCGCCCTCCTGTCACCCCCTACTTTTCTTGCCTCTGCCCCAACCTGGGAGCTAACGCTTCTGGCTTTGGCAAACATTTGCTCTCTCTGCCTGGGCATTATTTTCTCACCACCTGATCTCCTGGTGCCAGAGCCCTGACCTACAGGTCTGATTGGAAATGCCCCCCGTCTGGGGCCCTGTGCGCCCATAGCCAGACCCCCAGGTTTCCTCTTTGGGCAGCAAACCATGCGTCACTGAGCCTCATCTCAGACCCTCTGCCTTGGACCTGCAGTTACTTAAAGGCTGATAGCTGTCATAAGGGCTGATTTGCCAAATAACACAGAGATCAAACAGATGCTTCGACTCAGCTAAAATCAGGCACGACCCAACCTGCTCATTATCCACCACTAACCCGTCCAGAACTTTCTCCAATCCCAAGTCACTGAGTCTCCTCCGCCAGTGAGGTGGAGAGCAATACCAAGCCACAAGCACTTCCCTCCTCCACCACTTCCTCCGCAACCACCCAGAGCCTTAGGATTTTATCAGCAGCCTCTCCACAAGCCAGCAGTAGGCCATCCAAGCCAGCACAGAGCCAGCACAGAGAAAGACAGAGGCCTGCCCCCTCTGTGCCAGCCCGAACCCCTGGCCCAGCCCACCCAGCCCCCGCACATCCTTCAAAGCAGTTAAACCTCAGTCCCCCTTCCTCAGCAGTCCCAGCTGGGATGGTGGAGTACCTTTCCCAGAGCAGCTCTGAGGTCAGTCAGCTCCCATGGGGAGGCTAAACGGAAAGCACCCAGGGTCCAAATGGGTTTTGCAGCCGGCCAGGTCACAGCCTAAAAGCAAGCCAAGGATTCATCACAGTGCACCTCTGTCTCTTTATAAAGGGTACCTCCGGGGCTCATCCTCTGGGGACCCCACTACGTGAGGGTGGCAAGGTAAAGCAAACTTCAAGCCCTGAAACTGAAGCATCTTTTCCACTTGGGAAGTTTCTGGTAGAACACAGTTGCCTGCCGGAAAGCCTGGAATCCACACCTTGATGGGAAGGCAGGGAGCAGCCTGGGGGGGAGCAGCCCCGGAGCCGGGTCGGTCTTCACACTGTGCAGTCTCCGCCCCGAGCAGCAGCTCTGTCAACAGCATCGTTTGGGTCTCGCTGCCCAGATGCAAAACTGAGGCCACAGTAAATGGTAGAATCGGGACTAGAACACAGGACTTCAGAATCCTCAGGTCCTAGCCACTACCTCCTTAACAACGGATTTCACCCAGCCAGGGCCACGGATGCCATGGCTTTGCTTGTGCAAAAGGGGACACAGGAAGACTCAAAAGACTGGGCCCCTTATATCGCACCCCAAAGACTGAGACGGCTATTTCTAGACCTGCTGCTCTGTGGTGTCTGGTTATTCCCTCCCCAATATTGGAACAGGATAATAAACACAGAGCTTATTAAAATACAGGATACAGGGCCTGGGGAGATAGCTCAGTAGAATAAGAAGTAGAATAAGAATAAGTGCTTGCCTGGCAAGCACAGGGTCCTGAGTTCAATCCCAGTACTGAAGAAAAAAAAAAAAAAAAAGAAAGAAAGAAAGAAGAAGAAAGGCTACAGGGGCTGGGGATTCAATCCCCGGACCTGCCATGCCAGTGGGCGCGCTGAGACAGCAATTGAGATTGGGCATGGTGGCACGTGCCTGTAATCCCAGCACTTGGGAGGCTGTAGACAGGAGAATCACTACAAGTTCAATCTAGTAGTGAGACCCTGAACACCCTGTAGACCCTTCCCTAAAATACAAAAATAAAATACAGGCTAAAGGATCACAGAACAAGAAGGAAGCAGAAAGGAGAAGGGGTGAGCCGGGCGTGGTGGCACCCGCCTGCAATCCCAGCACTTGGGAGGCTGAGGCAGCAGCACCATTGGGAGCTCCAGACCAGCCTGGGCTACAAAGAAAGCTCAAGGCCAGCCTGAATTACACAGTGAGACCCTGTCTCAAAAAGACAAAAAGGAGGAAGGAGAGGAAGAAGAGAGAGAAGGGGAGGGATAGAGGAGGGGGAAGGGGGGGCAGTAACACTGTAAATTTCTCAAATAGTGAAGGAAGCCCCGGAGGAGCCAGGGGGCTACCCACAATCACAAGGGCCTCTCTTCTGGGCAGGCTAAAAGGAAACCAGGACAGCAAGAAGAGCAAAGCAGGTCCAGGCACAGACTGTTAGGCGCTGAAGTGATAAAGACCTCCACAGCTAAGTTTGAATGCTTGGGGGGAGTGGGGTCACCACCTAGCGACATCCCCAGCCCATCTAGCCACACAAGGGCAATGCAAACCCCACCATGCACAAGCGGGCCCACATGCTCCCAAAGCAGGGGCTTCCAGCTTCCTTCCTTCCTTCCTACCTGGTAAGCATCAGCCCCAAGATAAGACTCACCCCCAAACCAGGGGCAGAATTTGGTTCCTCACACTCATCTTGGAAGATCATCTGCTGGGGAGTCAGGTGGAGACAGGCAGCAGCCATGCTCAGGCCCGACCCACCCACCCACCCCACCCAATCCATCCCCAAGGTATCCACTCCACTCCACTCCCACTCCGGGACAGGCCCACTTCCCTCTTTCAGCATGAGTCAGTCCACAAGTCCAGCCATTATCAGCCCATGAATCATCTGTCTCTAGAAAATTCTACATCTCAAGTTTCCCCACTCTGGGAAGTCCTCCTTAACAAAGCTGGAGAAAGCTCGAAACCTGGCCTGGTGGTGCCTGCCTGCAATCCCAGGACAAGTTCAAGACCAGCCCAGGCTGGCTACAAAGTGAGCTTAAGGCCAGACTAAACTGCAGAGCTAGAGCCTGTCTCAAAAAGACAGACACAGACAGACAGACACACAGACACACAGACACACACACATGTGCTCGTGGGCACAAACAAAGCTTATAAAGACTTTTTTAATGGATCTAAAATGTACACCTATTTTAAGGATACAGGGACAGGAGCGGAAGGGAGCTCAACCTCTCTTCCCCCTCCTTCACTTTCTCTAAATTTAAAGGTAATCTCCGTCCTTCCTCCACTTCCACCTGGCAGGCTACCACCCATCCCCAGGCTGGCCCCATCTTCAGGCAGGCCCGGACCCCAGGCAGGTCCCACCCCCGCAGGTCCCACCCCTGGGCAGCAGCAGGCAGGCTCCAGCAGGCTCCTGCGATTCTTATTCTCAGTCCCCTCCCAGCTGCGCCTCAGCACCATGCCCTCAGCCTGACCCTGCAGGGAAGACACCCCAGGAACAGGCAATGGCCTCTTGCCATGGAGACAGAGGGGACAACTACTCCCTGGCTTGTTGTCCCTTCAGAAAGGATCTTCCCATGGGGGCACCCACCTGGGGCCTTTGGACTTCTGGCTTGCTTCTGGTGGTCCTGGGGGTATCTGCAGGAATCACTGCTGCAGTACACACACACACACACACACACACGCGCGCGCGCGCGTGCGCGCGCGCTGCCGCAGGAGAGGCAGGGAGGCTGACATCATGTTCTCACCTACTGCCCTTCACCCCACACCCGTGCGGAGGTGGAGGCAAGAGAAAAAGCAGCATGGGGGTTTCCCCAAAGCTAAGGCTCCAAAGTCCAACTGCAGCGGCAAGGGAAGGCTCCAGCCCGTGCCTGCATACGGGGAGCCCTTGAGAAACGACATGAGCAGCCCCCCTCTACCTGCCTCCTTGCACCTTGGCCCAGCTCCACGGGTCCGGGACAC